GGCCGGAAGTTGGACATGACTGAGGGGTCAAGGTTAGGTTTTTTCAGGAGGGGCTGGACAGCAGCATGTTTAAAAGTCTTTGGCACCACACCTGAGGATAAACTGCTATTCAGAATAGTGAGGATAAAAGGACCCAGGGTAGGAAAAACTTCCTTTAGTAGTCGAGGGGGGACCACATCAAAGGGGGAACCAGATGGCTTCATGCTGCACATTACCTGCTCCAGAGAGGACAGAGAGATGGGCTCAAAGTGGTCAAACACAGCCACGCACTGAGAAGGGATGGACAGATCATGAGCTGGTGGAGAAATGAGTGCCCGGGTGTTTGCCACTTTTTCTAAAAAGAAATGGAGGAAGTTCTCACACAGCTCAGTTGAGGCTTCCAGAGGTGAAGGCTCACTGAGGTGTAGAACTGAGTTCAGGGTGGAGAAAAGAACTCGGGGGTTGTGGGAGTTGGAGACAATTAAATCAGAAAAGAATTTACATTTGGCAGCTTTAACGGTTTTCTGATAGTGACGCCAACTCTCCCTTAACATTTGAAAAGACACCTGGAGCCTGTCCTTCCTCCACTTTCGTTCAGCTTTGCGACACTGCCGCCTAACGGCTCGCGTGACGTCATTCAGCCAAGGCTCTGATCTAAGTTTCGTTTTTCTGGTCTTAAGGGGAGCAACACGGTCCAGAACATCTAAACAGGCAGAGTTGAACTGAGAGGTTAGCTCCTCAGTGGTAAGAGACACCGGGAACTGTTCGATCCTCTCAGAGTTAAAACCTTCATTAAAACGAGCAGCAGTGAAATGGTTAATGGAACGCGTACGTGCAGGAACGCACGTCTTAGCAGTATGACAAGGGGGGGTGAAGTCAAACAATACAGGCATGTGATCTGAAAAAACATTGTCACCGATTTTCAAATTAGAAACAGAGACATCGCGTGTTAAAACGAGGTCCAGCGTGTGACCATGTTCCTGGGTAGGACCGTTCACCTGCTGAGCTAAGCCAAAAGAGTCCAATAAATCCAGAAAGTCCTTCACTAAGGGCTTCTCCTGACAACACACATGCAAATTAAAGTCACCAATAAGCAAAAAGTGAGTGTATCTCTGTGTGATATCAGCCAAAAAGTCAGAGAATTCATTTATGAAGTCCTTAGAACGAGGTGGGCGGTAGATGAGCACACACAGGACCGGAGGAGAGTGTCCAAGTTCAAAGGCGCTCAGCTCGAAGCTGGCGCGGGACACCGGGATAGACAACTGTTTACAGGCAAAGTTTGCTTTAAAAACTGTTAATAATCCCCCCCCGCGCCGACCTGATGGCCGCGGGGCATTGCAACATACACAGTCCGGAGGAAGTAGTTCCACCAGGGCGCTGGACTCACCATCAGGAATCCAAGATTCTGTGACGAACAGAAAATCCAACTCCTCATCTTTAAAAAAGTCATTGAGGATAAACGTCTTGTTGGAAACAGACCTTGCGTTGATTAAACACATCCTGATATTGTCCGACACAGGCACAGCCGTGGAGGGAGACGCGCGCGCCAGCGGGCGCAGGTTATGAAGAACAGCTCCTCCTGGTCTGCTGGTGCGGCGCACAGGTAAACAACTCCAGGTGTTTCCATGGACTGAGCGCGCGGGCAGCTGGCCAGCAGCCGGGCCCCGGGAGCACCACGGGTCAGAGAGGAGATGATCAGATCCAGAGCGAGTCCTGTTAGAATAATCCACACTTTGCCTCAGTTTCACCAAAATCCCTGCACGCTTCCCACGACGTCTGCGACGTTTCCTCCATGGAGAAAGGCCAGGGTCACGCAGAAGGAACGCAGGAATCTCAGATAGGACCGGTGGGGGAGAGTGATGGCCGCTGTTCAAAAACTCCGCGGGAATTTCAGCAAATGTACGGAGCTCCAAAAGTGCCCGACGATCATACTGAAAATATGACTCGGCACACTGCACAAACCATTGTAAAAATAACAAAAATAAAATACAAGCAGAGAGCGAGAGACGGGCAGCCCTACACACCGGCGCCATCTTGGAAAAATCTCCTAGGTTAGGTTTAGAGATGCATATTTTTTGCTTTTTGTTTGTGAAACAAAGTCAGAGGAAACTGGTTCTGGTTCGGTCGTTGGACCCGGTGTTACACCATATTCTGTGACCTGCAACAGTGCATGCAACACCGCCCCCACAGTCATAATATACGGTGGTCACAGAATATGGTGTAACACCGGTTCACAAAGAGCTCCAAACAGTCAGGAAGTTGATTCATTTTCTGTTTCTTTACGATAGTTGAACCAGAAGATTCATCTTTAGTGAAATATTTCCAGACTACTGATGCATTTCTACCTGTTTGCCAAGACTGGGCCTGCTCCGCTCCATCCGTCTGCTTGGAGGAATCCATTTTGTAGCCCGTGCCCGGTGCGGATCACGTGACGTGACGCAATGACGTAACGGTGGTGTAATGACGTCACTACGAATACTCGAAGTGAAATAAAAAAACTTGAGAGATGTCCTGGTAATCGACGTGTCGATTACTCGAGTAGTCTGTTAAAGCCCTAGTGTAGTGCTAAGCTAACGGCGCGCAATACAGATGCACTAGCTAAAATGCTACAGATGTAGCTCTTTGCTTCCCTCACACATCCTAACCCCCCCACCCCACCCCCACCCTGGTCAACAAAACTGTCCTCACTTAATGTAGCACTAAGCTACATTAGTGCCTCATCCTCCTCCCTCCCCCCGTGAGCATCCTGCCAAGGCAAGTGACTGACAAACACTGCATGCGGTGTGCTGAGTTGTAGTTGTTAACTAGGAAAACCTGGAGTGGACTTTTAGTGGTTTGAGTATTCTCCCATTAATCAAATGTGCAATGGATTCATTCGAGTAACAATAGAAACAGCACTGAGTGAATTAATATTTCATGGTAAATGTGTGTGTGGAGGGGTGTGTCCAAATGAACATTTTTTAAATGTGGGGTGTGGGGGCATGTCCTCTTCACATATAATTGTTGCAACACCTATGAGTATACGTCATGGTAAGTAAGGTTTAACTTTCCTCCCACCAGTGTCCCCACTCTGTCCCTGCACCAACCAGTTTGGCCACAAATTCTGTTATAAAGAAAGTGCCACACTTTACAGACAGACTCCTCCATGCACAAGGTTTGTGCTATCTCCATCCACAAGTTTTTGGCCATTTGACTATTGTCTTGAAGAGTCCTAATGCATATCCTAACACTTTTCCACATAAACAAACACACTCACAAGCTTCCAACTAATCACCCAATACTTGTGTATACTCCTGTGAGAAAAGGTTTGGCCTGGGCCTTGTGTTGAGAAGAGGTGAGTGAAGCTGTGCTGAGGGGAAAACATGACATGGTTTTTGTCAACCAAGTATGTTAAAGAGAGCCAATTTCATGCCCTTGAAGGGACCTGCATACTCCATCCAAAACAACACAGTCGACCCTTATTGACATAGTTGCGTGACAAAAATTACGTCCATTTGTTCTCTGAGTAGCTTTGCCTGTCTCTTCTCGACACAAGGCCCGGTCCAAAGTTTTTCTCACATGCGTATGCGTTAAATATTGTGTGACTTATCAGGTTTGTGGACATTTTAGTCAATGAAGAAATGCACTCAACTATTCATATGTACAACTCTTCTAACACACTAAATTAGTCAAAAGTCCCAAAACTCTTGAATGGAAATTGTGAAGACATTGTGTATGGAGGAGTCTGTCTGCTGTAAAGTGTGGCACTTCCTTCATGATAGATTTAAAACCAAATGGCAGATACAGGGATGGAGTGGAGACTCTGGCAGGAAGAAACCTGTGCAGTGACGTATACTGCAGCGGGTGGGGTTTCCCAGGAGCTCTGCGCCTGCATCTCATGGACTATGAAAGTTGAGCGCTAAAACGAACATATTGCAACCACGTGACCACACGTCAACTGTTTGGCTTCAGATGGAGTATGCTGGGCCCTTAAGCTGCAGTCACTTTCACCTTCTCAGACTTTCAACCCTGGAAGTAATTTTCCTAACAGAACCTGCAGTCAGCCTGCATATGAGTTTTATGGAGAGCAGTGCAATGATTTACAGAAATATTTTTCAAATAGACCTAGAGAAAGTCTGTGGTACATACCTCTGAAGATGACAACAGGATGTCGGAAATGGCAACAGGGTTTTCAGTGATGTTGTGGCGATCTCAGGGTATTCTGCCATAACTTTAATCCAGAACACCGGCAGAGTTGTTGTCTCAAACATACTTTAAAGGCGCCGTCATTTACGATCTCCAGAAGATGATATTCTTCTTGCATAGACACACTGGATTCCCCTGGATTGTTGGCGAATGGGTTGCGGATCCATTCCTCGGCAGTTCTTGTGTCTTTTGTGGTTGGAAAGTAGTGCTCAAACTCTTTTAAAAGCAAAGACAGGTGATCATGCACCAGCTGGGAGAATGAAGGCTCTGGCTCAGTCTCTTCCAAAATCCCTGCTAATGTTTGAAACATGTCAAATATACCGCTGTTCACACACCGTCCCCACAAATCCAGTTTGGCTTTAAATGTAGCTACTTTATCTGCTAACTTGAAGAGGGTTGTTGTTTTCCCCTGAAGTGACAGATTGATTGATTCATTGAGCAGGTTGACTATGTCATACAAGTAAGCGAGTTTTGTGACCCATTCCTCGTCACTGAAATGTGCAGCCAGCGGTAACTTTTTCTGCAGCGTCTTCAAAAGACGTTTGTTTTTTTTGTTTTTTGTTCATTTTGCTAGATTGGGGGTTTCAATTAAGCGATGCCCCTTTAAAAAGGTAGCCATGTGACTGAGGCAAGCATCTTGATTGCATCAAGAGTGAGTCATAGACAGGAGTAATGAAGAGAATCTCCTAGTTTTCCCAAATAAATCATTGTTCAGAGTCAGATACTAAATAAAACGGAAATAATGTAAGTTGTGTATTATTTCTGTGCGGCCCGGTACTGGTCCGCATCCTGGGGGTTGGGGACCACTGTTTTAACAGATTGTGTTTTTTTCTCAGGGAGGAGTCACCCTTTATGGTTTGAAGTACAACATAGCAGTGGGTGTCCTCTTCATTAATGCCTGGCTATCAGGTGAGTACAGGACCATACAGGCTGAATGACACTTCTAACAGGCTAACTGTTAAAACCATGCTGTGCTTCCCAGGTAAGGGCCACTTTTTCTACAGAGGCCAGGTAGAAGATTCAGCCACTGCAGAGATTTCCAGATCCCAGGTGAATTCAGGGTTAGGTTATCTTTGAGGTAGTTTTAGCAGAAGAGATTTTCTGCATCTACAAATACATCAAGTTTACATTTAATTTTTTTGGAAAATTGAAACAAAATTTAAGACTGACATCTGTGTAAAATTATAAATGTCAGCCCTGGGTTAGTCCAATTTTCAATCTGAACAGGTCAGACTTACTGCCAGCAATGCAAACCAAATTCTCGCATTGTCTGTAGAGACTGAAAGGTCACCAACAGACCCCCAACCCCATGCTCACAGAGTACCGTCTACAGGGTGGTGCAAGGAACACATTTGAAAGCTTTATTTAAGTCTACACAACAAACATAGACTTTTTGGGCAAACTCCCATACCCCTCCAGGACATTTACAAGGTTGAAGTGCTGGTGACTCTTCTCCAGCACCCTTGAACAGACCTTAGAAGGAAGGTTGAGGGGTGTGATTCCCCTGTAATTAAAACACACCTTCTGGTCTCCCTATTTTGAAAAAGAGGAACCACACAAACAGTCTGCCAGTCTAGTGGCACTGCCACTGATGCCCATGCAGTGTTGCAAAGGTATGTCAACCAAGATGGTAACAACCAGAGTTAGCATCGTTCCCTGCCATTTGATCCAACTCATCACCGGGTGATGACCAACTGACAGCTCAGCTCCACTCTTCACCTGAGTGCCCAAAACACTCTGTTGCAGATCAGGTAAGAGAAGATAGCGATAGTACGATGATTATCTTCTGTACACAATCCAGAAGATCATCGGAAGAGGTGGCTGTGGAAAGAGATATCTGGGCCTCCCTGCTCAAACTGCTGCCCCTGTGACATGACTTCAGAACAAGCAGAAGATGATGGATGGATGGATGGATGGATGGATGGATGGATGGATGGATGGATGGCGAACGGACGTGAGATACACCCAGGTGGAGCAGTGGGCAGCTATGTAGGTGCCCGGGGAGCAGTTAGGGATTAGGTGTCTTGCTCAGAGACACCATGAGATGTGGGTATGGCGGGTAGTCGAACTGCAACTTTCTGGTCCCAAGTCGGATGCCCTATCTCTACACTAGAGTTGCATTCGGGTCCAAAAAAATCTGACCCAACCTGGCCCCAGCCCGTAGCCATAATTTCTGATTCCCACCCGATCAGACAGATTAACAGTAATTAAATGTCCAAAGCCAAAAAAACCCGACACTTTTAATTGAGCTTTGACTGCTTATAGCTATAGTTATTAACAGTCGGCGGATGTGTGCAGCTGAATAAAGGGGTCAACCGTCAAAGTGCATTAAATGCTTCCCCTGCTTCTGCCTGCATTGGACCCTGCTCTGACATGTCGGATATTTTGGGATCTCACCTCTTTGGGTCGTCGGCCGCGTGCGTCCGCTGAGTGCAGCAGCTGAATGAACGTCCATTTGGGTGATGGATTGCTGGCAGTAGTCCATTTGAAACTTAACTGAACTTTTTTTTTTTACCTCTTTCAAGGCCAGTCAGCACGCGGTAAAATGGCCGCGTGTGGCTGGTGATAGTATGGCAAGCCATGTTGCCATATAATTGGATCGTCAGCCACGCGCATCCGCTGACGCAATCAAAAGCCCGATACCGACCTGGCCCGCACGTTATTATGGACTGGCCTGGTCCGAATCCGGGTTGGGCAGAGCCTGGCTCCGGGTTCAGGTTAGAAAGGACAGCTCTACTTTACACCATATCTGTCCCCCAAGATGACACAAATACAAAGTCTATCATTTATCTGCAGGCTAAGTTGTCCTGGTTCCATGTGCAGTTATGTTCTAACGGTGTTCATGAGGAACAAACCGTGACTAGCACAGAATTCTAATAACAACACCACTTGGGTTCAGATTGGAGAGGCTGTCCCTCCTAACCACACCCGCTCAGATCACACTGTCTCCACCCAGGTGGGCACAGGTGAGAGCCTCTTGAAGAATGATGGAGTCCTCAGCTGAAGACCCTTCCAGTCCCCATTCTAAGGACTCCATGAAAACTGGAACTGCCATTTTGTGCTTAGGCATAAATAATAGTTAGAGCATGCGCCCTCACCCAATGGACCAGGGAAGTTACCCTCTCATCTACTGGGATAAACACCAACGCAAGGAAAGCATGTGGTACAAGTTCAAAATAAATTAATAATTTTTACACAGTCCATGATTTGTATTTTGGGTCTTTGTGTATCATTATGGATGAAAACAGTTTTAGAATAGTTCAGTGTGACAACATTTTTACTAACAAAAACAAAAATTGTTTTGGATCAAAACATTCTCATGTGTACAAAGCCTTAGCCTGACCGAAGAGATGTAAATCAGAGTGGGGACATTATGATACACTGTGTGTGTGTGTGTCAGGTGTGGCAGTGGATCCGTCATCAGACTGGGCTGGAGGACGACAGCAGGGTGGTGAGCAGGCAGCTGGTGACAGAGCTGACCCAGGAGATAATGGCTGAGCTTCGTCCTTTCTGTCACTCTGTTGGGTAAGAAGACATGATAAAATGTGCCACACTCATTATCAGATTGATCATGGATTTAGGTCTTTAAATGGAAATGAAAAATATTTTAAAAGTTAGAAATATTTGATCTTATGCTAGAAGAATTATTGTTTTTTTAAATAGTTCATAAAGGAATAAGTGAGTAAAGATAATGGATTAAAGTAAATAAAAACAACAACTTGTGAACTGTTTCAGGACCTCTGACCCCTCAATAAACATAAACCAACAATTATTCAATAATTTTATTTTATGATTTTTTTCGTTTGTTTTGTTTTTGTTTTCTTGCTGCAGTGCTGATTCAAAAGGCTAAATTGCAAAACAACAAAGCTGGGCCTTTCCCCTAAGCCTGATAAAAACTGAACTGTCCTGAGAAATTACAGATACCACAGTGATGGTTCTGATGTTTGTTAACTCACATCTTCTGCTTTAGTCTCTCTGCATGTGCATGTTAAATGGTGACTCATTTGAGGCTTATTTCCACTCAAAATACATCAAACCAGTAAATAGTTACTGGATGGCTGGTCAGATGGATGGATGAATGGCTGGAAGGACAGATGGATGGTCAGATGGATGGATAGATGGATTGTCAGATGGATGGATGAATGGCTGGATGGACAGATGGATGGTCAGATGGATGGATAGATGGATGGTCAGATGGATGGA